GATACAGGATTTGAGGTACAGTGCTCTTTCATTTTAAACTATGAAAAATATGGGGTCAGTTTGCTTTCATACCTCAACGTCCTTCCAAAGCGGGCGACGGGATTTCGATTTCGGTGACCGACAGCTTCTTACGGGCAACCCCACAACCAAAACCATCCCTGAAATAACACCGACATGGCCTCTGGCGTCGATGGCACCAGTGTCAGTGCAAATATTTTATATTACATTTTTATCAAATCTATAACCATTGTCAAGTTTTTGGCGTCGTTGCTGGGGACTTAAATATTCTAGCAACAATATCAAATTCTTGTATTTTTAAGCATATATAAAGTAGCTGTCAGGGACCTAGTAAAAAAAATAATTGATGCCTCAGAAGAGTTGTGGACAGAAAGACTTGCGAGAAGGAAACATTAAACCATTCTAATTTGCACCTTATCATTTCTTTTTTGCCAAATAATTAGAAGGTTGAATGTTTTATTTTTCAGGTGGTGCCTGCAACAAAAATATTCAAATTTGCAGGACTTGACCCCGAGTTCGAGGAGAAGTTATACCATATGTTTGGGTGGGGGGTCATTGCTACAAAGAAATATGCCTTTGCTCCAAGTGAGACACGGTTTGGAGTTACCCATGATAATGCAGTAGTTAGCCTGTCAGTCAATTCACCCCCATTCCACACCCAGGACCTCCTTGAAATCCAGTCGACGAATCGGTCTAAGAGAAAGAGAACGAGCGGAGGTCTCTTTATCAGAACCCAGATATCATACCTGATAGATTCTTTGAATGATGCCCTCCATAAAGTCCAGAGTGCCTCAATTAACGAGGTGGTGGAAATTTTGGAAGAGAACCCGGAGATTGCTGATGATTTGATCTGCACTTTTTTACGGTGGAACTCCTGCAAGATTTTGTCCACAGATATTTTTTCAGGGCAGTGGTGAAAGATCGACGGGTTGCTTATCTACATCATTTTTATGCTCATAGGGAAAATTGAGGCATCAGCAATTTCATTTTATAATTTTTTAGAGACATTCTATTACTTTAGTTATTCATTGGAACATTGAACAACATTATTGTACTTTATCATTTCATGCTTGCTTTCTATTTAATGTCTCTTATTATTATCTTGTTAATTCTAGTTACAACCTTATGTTATTTGGATTCAATAATTCGTGATTCGGTTATGTTATCTTCTTGAGGCTGATTAGGTGAGGCACTCTAGGATGGCTTAAACTTTTAAGCAACCATTTTGCCATTACCAAAGAAACCTGCTATCTTTTAAATGCAATTAATATTGAATGCAGTCCAATGGGGTTGTTATGGAAACATGTAAACATTAACTGCAATTCCTTTGGGGCTGTTTTGGAAACCTGTAAACATTAACTACAATGAATATTGAATGCAGTTCTATGAGGCTTGTGGTTGCTTTTATTATGATGGATGAATTTTCTTGTTTATGAAGTTCTATGTGGTTGCTTCTATTTGAATGCAGATCTATATGTTTTTCTACTTTTTATAACATGGAAGTGGCTTTGCCTCATGTTGCTGCAACTTTTAGCATTGGGGAAGTCTATGATTGCAAGGGTAAAACCTGAACTTCTATCTTCTATCACCTGAAATTTCATATATACGTACATAAAAATTTTCTCAACTCATTCCTCAACTCATTCAACTCATTCAGCTGACCAGAAGAGATCATGCTCTCCAAGGTTGTTTGGTGGCAAGAATGAAACATGATTTATAACTTTCTTGTTAAGCTGCTCAAAAGAACTCTGGGAATTGGGACAACACGCCTTTGTTCTGTTCTAGAAAAGCTACATGGAAGACATCATTTTATTTTTTTCTCCAGAAAAGGAATATGTTGTAAATGTATGAAAATGATCTACTTTCATCTCTTAGCATTGACAATGAGATTGTTGATTGGAAGCGATGTATATTTTTGGTGTATTGCACTAATGAATATATTTGATTACTTTCCCATGGATGTAGGTCAGCATGACCGAACCACTTTAAATCATTTGTGTTTATTGGTTTATTTAATTTTTTTTATTTAGTCTCTCTAAATCGAAATTCATACTTATATTGATGGATATCTCAATTTCTTATACCTTGTAAATGTTCTCATTCAATGTATATCTATGTTGTACTAATAAAATGGGGCATTTACAAATAAAGATCTTGTTACACCTGCAACGTTATTTCCTCTTTTGTTGCACTCAGGAGAAGATGACCTCACGGATTTCTGGGACATCCCGACAAGAACTCTGTCACTGTGGTCTCCAACCCTCACTGCTGACGTCACGTCAACCACACAGCTACTTGAGGAAGTTCTATACCTGCCTACGGAGCATCGCCGAATAGTACGGATTCTTTCGTTAGGCAACGGTTCGATTGATTCACCAGATGATGTTGATCGAGAATGGAGAACATCACTTGAGTAAAGTCTGACACAGGAGCTACATCATGTTAATGTGAAGAATAATATAATTATCTTATTAATTGTCATTATAATAGTTTTAGAGTTTTTTTTTGCTCTACTTATGTTATCGATTACTTAAGATGTGTTTATGTAATTATGGACTATCATCATTGAAGTTTGGACTTAACAGTAGTCATGTACCCCCAAAAAATCTTTTGTTATGTAAACGATGAATTTTTGTTGTGATACATAGCAGATATAGGTACTACAATTCCCAGTCTATTTTTTTAGCAACATTTATGTTTACCTATTGATGACCTAAACAAAAAATTAATGTATTTGTGTTTGAGAATCAAAGATTGATATTCATAACTTTTAATATTTATATTTAATAGAAGCTATGAATGAAAGTGTATTTCAACTTGGGAAAAAAATGGGCACACGTCCCTTTAATTCACTTTCTTTAAGTTTTCATCGATATTTGATAAAAAAATCGTTAAATTGATTAGTTCATTATTAATATGTTAAATCCCGAATGTAAATATATTTTTAAAATAATCGTGCCACCAAATATAAGAGCTTTCTTATAACAAGTTTTTTATTTCATATGCTCACCTATCTAACAAGTTAACATTTCAAATATATTAATCATTCCCATAAATTTTGTTAATAACAATTACTAACTATTACCTAATAATTAATTTATTACATAATTAACACGTTAAAGTTGCAATAATAAATTTCACTTTTAGAGTTTCAAAAAGTTCACTGTTATAGTCATTCTTTAAACAATTTTACCAGACATTGCAAAATTGTCATTTTTCCAAAAACAGCTACTCTGCAGCATTTTTTACACAGCTGCACCAAACAGACAACCAGCTTCCTTAAAGCTGTTTTCCCGCAGTATCTTCCTAAGGCAGCGCAGCTGCAGCTGAATTGCCTCAGCAGCTTCCTGGGGCAGCGCAACTGCAGCTGAAAAATTGGGAAGTTGCAGCTTCGCCAAACAAAGCCTATAACTCCTAGCCCACAAATAGAGTATCATTTCTATTTTAGCCCACAAACAGAGTATCATTTCTATTTTAAAGGACTGCTCAATTATTCAAGCTAACATTTAACATTTTTCTCTCTCATTCTCTTATGTTCCATTTCATTGGTATGCCTCCTACATACATACATATATATATATACGTATATATATATACATATGTATATATATGTATATATATATGTATATATATATGTATGAATTAAAAATAAAAATTTATACTTCATAGTACTAAAAAAATTGATGCATACTTCCCTATTACATTCGATTCCATCAGGAATTCATTTTAAATAGCTCCCGCTGCCCATAGCCATAGAAACCATACCAAGGGTCCGCTAAACTCCTCATCCCTCATCCCTCGTCCCACTCATCCAACCATCCTTCTATCATTAATGGCATCGTCTTCCACGTCGCGCAGCTCCAGCTCTGGCTGGTCCAAGGAACAAAACAAGCTCTTCGAGCGTGCACTTGCTATGTACGACGAGGACACGCCCAATCGCTGGCAGAAAATAGCTCGCTTCGTTGGCGGAGGAAAGTCGCCAGAGGACGCCAGGCGCCACTACGAACGCCTCCTCGAAGACGTTCAAAAGATCGAGTCCGGCGATGTTCCGATTCCTAATTATTCTACCTCGGCTGCTAACCAGCAACACAGGTAAGAGGTACCATTGCCTGGCAACTGGCTGTCGTACAAGTTCACAAGCAATGGTTCAGTAGTTTAAATGTTAAATTTCTCTCTGCTCTTTCCCCTGTTTAATTCATCCAAAATTAGATTTTGTTTTTTAATATTCTTGAGTAATAGCCAATTTGTGTGAAAATCTTCTATATAATTTTATAAGTTTGTGGGTCTCTATAAATATAAGGAACAGTGTGTGCATATATATTATATATATATATATATATATATCCATATTGTTAAAATATATTACATAATTCTCTTTCAAACAAAAGCCCAATAAAGCTAGGTCCACAAGTTATGGAAAGAAAAATTCCCCAAAGATGACGTGTGAAAATTTTGAGGACAAATTTATTCGATAATTTATATCAAGTAAATCGTCAAAATTAATGTGCTTTCATCCTTTTCGATGCAAATTAAGCGAGTAAAAATCCCTCTCATTAGCTTTTTCAATGGCTTCCGAGTTAACTTTCTTTTATTTTTATGTATACAAAATTTTAAAATTCTTAGTTTTTGTATAATTTAATTATTTATATTGTATTATGATATACTAAAACTAATGTAAATAGTAAGCAACCTGAACATATAGGTATAGTTCATTGGGTGTTTTTCAAATGAGCTTGATAGCCACTAATCAACTTTTCTTAAGCGTAATTATCAGACATTATAAGCTCAGTCAAAAAACATGGAAGCCAACAATTTACATTTTATCGAAATTCTCAGAGGTCGTGACAATATAGGATGGCAGCCATGAAATGGGGAAAAATTTACGCCATGTTTTTTCTTTTTTTTTTTCCTTACTTTTTTAGAGTAAATTCATATAAGAAGAATTATTCTTATTAGATTAATATTTAGAGAGATGCCATTGATACTTTATTTTATTTTATAGCAATAGACTTCCTCTTTTCATGGGGATATTTCTAATAAAAATATATTCTCTCTCGTTCAATGAACATGCCAAAGGTTTCAAAAATTTTAGCATTACAGGTTTACCTCTAAATTATTCTACATGTAGCCTAACTGCGACGATACAAAAAGACATATGCCGACACAATAAGGCTTTTTTGCTGCAAGCTCTCCAACTCAGTAAATTAACGGCTTAAGTTTTAAAATGATCATAACCAGTTATGATTGTGATGCTTATGCACGTAAACTACTTTTTATATTTAGGTACAAAAACTACAACTGACGAAACTGGGGCCGAATGAATGTTTCTGGCAAACTGATCAGTAGACTAAATACACATGGGCTCAAATAAATTATCAGCTATCTGAATGCTAAAGCTAAAGGGCAAAAAGGAAGAAGAGAACGCTGTATCCAACTTTCACTATACTTCTCTAAATCTACAGAATACCACAAATTCCGTATACGGATATTTGCTAGTCTTCTATGATCTATGTATTTATATATGGTTGTTTAATGTTACTAAGTTGGATGTATCCTTGCTTGTTGTCAATATGATACCGCCTTACCTCCGTGCTTTTGTTTGGTTTTAGTAAAATATTTTCTATGAAGCGATAAATTTTGTGAATTTTAAGGTTTTTTTGATTAAAAAATATTAACAAATATTTTTAAATTGATTCTTATTACACCTATTTATACCAAAATTATTTTTAAAAGGGTAACGAACTCGGAGGATTTAAAAAATACTTGAACCAGAGTGCGATTACTTCAGTTTGGCTGGACGAGAAAACAAAAAAAACACTAAAATTGTCCAATCGACAACAGGAATGGCTTGAGTGTGTTGCTCAAGATTTTGTTTGCGCTTTGAACGGTAAACTTTAACCTAATTTTGCTTGAAGTATTGAATCATTATTTTAAGTAAAATTAGTTACTATTTAGCATTACCCTGGCTCCTTATCAGGACCCGCAACTTATAAACTATAATCGAAATTTGAGCGCTATAAGAAAAAGTAGATGATGACATACAAGAGCGATTAAGCAAAATTAGTTACTCGGGGTAAATTCAAGAGGCGCGTAGATTGAGAGCTAAGACTAGCATTCGATTAATTGATTGAGAAGAAGTCGCCCATTTCTGACATGGTTGTTGCCGAGTAGCTTAAGGGCTTTGTAAGTCCGGTGAGTCACTATGAGTAGTGAGTTAATGAGCTTGACAGTTTAGTCTTCTTCAAGCAGGGTTTGCGAGCTCGTGACTTGAGTTCAACTTACGAGCCTCCTATCAAAAATGGCTAAGAGGTATATTTGGTGCTTAGCAGTCATAACCAGGTATTATGTCCAGTTTAGCAAAGTGGTGGTGTTGCTGATAATGTATTCCCAATGTCAAATATGTAATAAGATATATCTGTGGGTAGATTGCGTATTGGATTAGAAGTAGGTGGTTAGTGTCACTGTATGGAAGTATGTAAATTTTCCATCCCCTGACTAATAAATTTCTTATTTCCAGTATTCTCTTGTACCAGACTTTATGGTATCAGAGCTGAGTCCAAGATCATTCGGACTATGGCTTCTTCCTCGAGGGATCAAGATAAGTGATGCCTTGAGTAGGGCTGTCAAAACGGCTCGTTGTTTGTGAACTGCTCGTGTTCAGCTCGTTCGCTAAGTTAACTAGCTGAACACGAACAATATAAACAAAAATTTGTTCATTCGTGTTCGGCTCATTTTGACTCGAAATACTAATAATTATATATATATATATATATATAATAGTTCATCTATAATAGTCGTAATTGGGCTACAACAAATGTAGTTGGCCACAAAGATTGTAGTCAATATCTACAATAATGATAGTTGGTCACAAAGATTGAAGTTAAAATTTGTAACTTTAGTAGTAAACAATAAATGCCGTAGTTGGTTGTTGCGTAGGAAGTAGTTGGGGTTGTCAAAACGACTCTTTGTTCGTGAACGGCTCATGTTCGGCTCGCTAAGCAAATGAGCCGAACACGAACACACTTTTGAGCTCAAAATATAAACGAGCCCTCGTTTACACCTCTAGCCTTGAGTGCTTCCTTCTTTTGCCTGCCAATATTGCTGCTCCTGCATCTTGTTTAAGTAATGTTCTGCACGTTCTCCTATCACTTCACTCTTTCTAGGCCAATGTGTCTTGTCTCTCTTCTCTGTAGTTTGGGTTTTCGTCTTGTTTTTCGGCTTATCATGGCTAGCTTCTTTGTTTCGGAAATATGGTTCTTCCTCGATGGAAGCATCCCAAATCACTAATATTCCTCCCTTAAGTTCGTGATAATCGATTTCAAGAACCTCATTCAAATCCAATTTGTGGTTGATAATTATTCGTTTTGCGAGCTGAAGTATTAAAGATTTTCACTCCCAATTGTTTTTATGGATTTCTGGGCGGTAGTACATCTTGTGCTAAAAAATTTGGTGATGTTTCACACAAATTGTCCACTGTCAACTCTCAATATATGTCGTGGATCTTCCCTCATCAAAATTTAGCCACAACACTTTATGTCATTATCTCGCCAACTATTACACCACACATCTTTCATTTAACTACTACTTATGAAATCTCGATTGCACTTACTAAACATTTGCAACCCACAAAATAACCAAGACTTATCAAACTAAAAAATGAGCTCCATAATCTATCTATGAACAATCAAACAATGAATCAATACTTGTCCACCGTAAAATCTTTGGTTGATAACATTTTGGTGGTCGAAGGTTGGCGAAATCAAATAGATTTTATTCTAAGCACCATCAAACATTTAAAACATCCATAAGAGCACAATTTCAAACTGATTTCTGTTATTTTTCTCTTTTTCCTTTTGGAATTGTCAGCTTTCTATTGTCGTATGATTTCCTTTTCCGAATTAATCTCTTACCCGAATCATATAGATGATCTGGAGAAGAGAGAAATTAGAAAATAAGGACATACAACGAAAGAAGACAAATGATAAAAAAACATGAGGAACTTTTGTTAAGTAAATTTCGCGTGATAACCCGAAAGCATACATCTAAAATTAGATCAGATCGAAAATACTTTGGAACATATCCAAACTTTACTAAAACAACCTACAACGAGAGAGTCAAGTGTGTTTTCTTGTTATGGGGGTCAAGAGCAACTCTCAAACGAATGTATCCATTTAGTTAATTAAATCTTAGGTGATGCCCATAAATACTCTCGATTAAAGCAACCTCGCTTACATTTAAATGATGAGTAGTATAGGTTGTCACAAAGAATGATTATCACTCAGAAATGTTTCGCTGCTTTCAAAGTTCTCGCTAAGCCACATGACATATAGCGAGTCTCTCACATCGCAAATGGGTAGTGACTCATTGGCAATTGAGGTCCGTGAAACAATCGAGTTGACTCATATGGTGCACACTATGGTTCCAAGGCTTAAAATTTTTTTAAGGGTAAAGGGTGAATTACCATATCCTAAATGGGTGGCGACCTATCCATAATCGGGGCATACGAGACGACATCACCAAAAAATCAAATAGAGTGACGAGACTCAAAGTGGATAATAAAGGAGAGGTAGAGTATTCTTAATCTGGTAGAGATAGTTGATTGAGAATATCATGGATCCATCATCCCAAGCTATTAAGGTCCCAAGTATACTTGGTTGTAAAGGTATTCGCCCTAGAATAGTCAGAAACCCCATTGTCATTAATCCGTGAATTGGGTCATCCAAGGGGACCTCAGAAGCCTTAAGGTTAAGAGAATTAAACTCTAAATCATATGACCCGTAGTAGTGAGGAACTAATTCAAATGGAAAGAGAAGAGACGTGCGACAACAAACCCGAAATTCTCTCACAAAAGACTTTCTCCATGTCGTGGTCGACGATGCCTCTAACACTCTAAGAGTGCTAGCCAAAAACAAAAGTAGAAATCTATGTCCGACCAGTCTAGTTGGAGAAGCCTGGGGGATTCTCCTCGGGACATGTTGAATGATGCAGCGAACTAATCAATCCTAATATTGAGGGCCTATTAATATGACAATGGATATTGCCATGCATGCAACCCATTTTAAAACCAGTCTAAAGGATATGCAAAAATGTAAAAAGCAGGTTTTAAAATCTTGAAGTATTTCATTCTTAAATTTTAATTAGCCTTTTTCTTTTATTAAGATTTTTGTAGAAAGTTTATAATTTTATGTCCTTAAAAGCCTAGATCCTGCACAGATGATCCATAAGGTCTAAAAAGCAAATCCAAGTCAAGCACGTTGCAAGAAAATAAAACAAGGTAAATCAAATGAATAAGAAATGGTCGGGTGCCACTGAGTCGACAACATATCTTACAAAAGAAAAATATGGCCAGACACGACATTTTTGATAGGCAGACCCGCTTTGGAAGGTCATTTAATTTATATATATATATATATATAGTTTTAAAAAATAATATTTGAAGCTTTGAAAATACGAGACCAAACCGATCTCACATAGACAATAGTTTAAATAAACGAGCACAATACTACAAGTGACGTACATATCTCGAGGAATAGACATATCACATATCCGTGCGGCTCGATTAATAAAACTAAAGAATTTATGATATCCGTTTTAGTCAGTGAAACTATTTATGTTAATCGACAAGTTCTATTATCTAATATGAAAAATTTGATAGGGTTTATTTTAGGCTGGGTTCTTAAAGTTTCTTATAAAGGCAAGCTCCAATAATTAATTACATCTTAAATGACTGAGGTCTCCTAAGAAAACTCTCGATTTAGATCAGAAAGTATTGACTTCAAAGATCAGACAAAAGAATGTCAAATGGCAAGGCTCGAATTTTGAACATTATCATAGAATGCAAAGGGAGAAAATTAGGGGTTGTCACAGATACTGAGGAGAACTTCAGTGAATTTCCAAGTTATTCTAATATTTGGCTTCAATTTCGAGAAGAAAATTATTGAATGTTTCATCCTGCCAATTTTATTATTTAAAGCTCACATTTGCATGACAAAATCATACAAATAGTCTAGAAGATAGGAGGATTTATGTCGTAATAAACGATAACCTCGGATTCCTAAGACGAGTTAGAGCTTAATTTGCACAACATAATTGTGCAAAGGCCTAAAGATAAAGTGACGATTTATGATGCACTAGGCAAACAACCTCGAAATCTTGTGGCGTGTTATTTAATTCTAAGAAAAGATTTATTTTTGTAGATACACTTGCTGTTGTAGGATGCTGCCCTCGAAGTTAGTTCCAAGCTCCTTGTCAAAGTAGTAGTCCTAAAGTCTAAAAGCTTAGAAGGTTTAAATGTCATGTTTGTTCAATCAGTATAGAGGGTTAATGTTAATTAGAGCAACACCAGTTAGGATCTCACGGTTCTCTCGTTCCAGCTTTACTATTTTCTCTAAATTTACTTAGCCTAAACGAGTTGTTAAGCTCATTTAAACTTGAGAGATCTCGTTAGCAACCATGAGTTACCTCATCCGAGGGACTCCTGTAAATTCAAGAGGACGTGTTATGAAATTGTTATTTTGTTGTTGTATTTTGAAAATGTTTTTAATTTTGGAAAACCTATTTTTCTACATATAAAATAAATAAATGCA